CCAATACCATCTAATGTATTTTAATTACAGTTGGGTAGCCACTTCAGATATACTTAAATGTGTGTAAAACTGAAGTTAACCTTTTTCAGAGAGAAAAATACTCCTTTTCGTTTTTGTTTGTTTTCTTCATTTTCCTGTTTGATCACAGGGGGAAAAAATGTGATTTCAAGAATATTTAAACCTCATGGCAAAGGAAAACAGCAAGTTCCTAAAAGGGAGGGGGGAAATTCCCAGGTAGCAAAACAGTAGGAAGAAGCAGACCTTAAGGTGATTCTACGCTACCTGCTGAGAACTGAGCTCTCAGCGGTCCATTAACAAGTTAAAAGGAGAGAAGCTGAAACTCGGATTGGAAAAGACTAGCGTCCACGCGCCTCCAGCAGTCTCCTTCTCTTTGTTTTTAAATGCTACTGCAGTGTTGTTTCTCGCTGTCTGAAAGGACCACAGCGTCTAAAACCCTGATTGTCATCCTCAGTGGGAGAACAGGTTTCCGATTTCATCAGCTGGAACGAAGTTGTGTGTGTGCTCGGTTTTAAACGCTAGAGAATATGCAGCCATCCCAGGGCAATGCTTTTTCTGGGTAGACCAATACCCAACAATTAGCCCACGATTTTGGTTATTTTTGTTCTTGGCTGGCTCACCCAACTCTTATCTAGTCCGTCCCTCTTAAGGACTCTTCCAGGTGGAGTTACTATATTGGATCAGACTGGAAAGACCACTCTGACCTTGAGGAGCTCAGAAGTTCCCACCTGGCTAACGTGCAGCATGGCTGCAAGCTATGGGACTGAGACTTCGTGCCCTCAGTGAGAATTGCCCGACGGAGGGCGAGGTGGGCACATACACTACACCCACCCGCCTCAGGCAGCTGGAGAAAGTAAACTAGGAGAATTGTTAGTCTCCTGGAGAAAGCCAGGAAAAAGAAGAAATGGCAGGAAAAGTAAGTGGGACCCAAGGGACCTCCTTCACCTTAACACTGACCCACAGTTCCTCCATCAAATCCAGGCAAAACGTGTGCGTTGCGAGAGCCCAGCCGGACCCGAAGCAAGCTGTGGGCCTGGGCCAGTGTCTCCCCCAGATGCCTCCGGCTGTGCGTGAGAAAGAGGCCGTTTCTCATTCCAGGGCTGCTGGCGAGGGTGAAAACACCCCAGAGGTCCCCGCCAAGAAGCAAGCTCCCACCCGGTCCTTCCAGACACTCTAGAAGCCGGAGTCCCTCTCTGCAGCCCCCAGAAGTTCTAACGAGCAGGGCGAGGGGCGCGGGTCCTGGCTGGCACCCCTCTGCCAGGAGTCCTGATCTGAGCGCCCAAGCCAGGGTCCCAGGAAGCGAAGGAGACAAGCGTTATCTAAAACAGAAAAGGTAGCGGGGAATGAGCAGCAGGGCCTAGGCCGCCACCCGACCAGGCTCCAAGGCCTAAACCAGCTGCCCAGGCCCAGAGAGCGGTGCTGGAGAACTCGCGGTGCTCACACCTGCGGCCGGGACGAGAGCTGCGCGGCGAGGACGACTTGATGCCGCCAGAACCTGGTCCAACCCCGCAGTGGTGGCCCGCAGCCGCTCACGTGCCTCCCGCAGAACTTCGCTTTCTAATTCCAGGAGGGCTACCGGGACTTTTGATCCGAAGTAGCCCTGGGGTGACCAAGACAGCGAACGGCTGAGTTGTGCCCCGAAGCTCAGGCTTCTGCCTCTTCACCCGTCTGACCCTGAAGGCCACCTTGGCAGCCTCTGTTCCCAGGGGCTCCATCCGCCTGGTCACCAGACCCTGAGCCTGGAGCTGAACTACGATCTTGGTCCGCAGTGCGTGGGACTCTCTCTGACCGGGAGAAGGGGTGGCTGTGCCGGAGCGGGGAGGAGAAAACAGCAGCGCCCAGACTCCTTGCGACTTCGGAGGGCAGAATGACAAGAAAGGCCACCGGAGTGTGGGAGTGGCAGAAGTTCCCCAAGTTCTCTGCAGCCCGAGAAGCGCGGAAGGCAAACCTTTGGATCCCAGACCTGCAGTCCTGCCTGAAGACTTTGCCGAAGACCTCCAGGCTGGGGAAGACGTAGGAAGTAAAGCCCCCTCGGCCACGGTGAAAAGGAAGGGCGACTCCGCGCGAGGTCGGAGCCAGGTGCTCCGCTGGCCCGCAGCGTGCGGGGGCGCGCGGCGTAACTAGGGTCGCTTCTCAGCAAACTCAGAGCGACCGATAAGCGCTAATGACTCTACCTCTTCCTGGAAGCTTCCACTCCAGCTCGGGGTCAAGACCAAGCTGTCCTCGCCCAGAAAATAGGTTCAAGACCGGCTGCATCCGGCTTCAGCGGCGCCTTTCTCTCCGCCTGCAGCTCGCGAGGCTCTAGAGTCCCTAAGCTGCCAAGTCAAAAATTCGGGAATCGCCGGCCAAACTCCTTGGCCTCGGAGAATTTAGGAAGCTTCGTTCTCAGCCAAGAAGTCAAGGCGAGCAGGCAGCGGAGACCGGAGAAGTTGAGTTCAGATTTAAAACGTCAAAAAAAAAGCCTGTTTTTTTTTTTTCATTTTATTTGGCAAAATGCTTTAATATGTCGTCCTAAAAACACTTTATAACGCAATGCTTTAATATGTCGTCCTAAAAACACTTTATTTATAACGCTTTGTTCATTACTTTTGGCTACTGTTATGAAATCTGTAGAGAAGAAACAAAAAGTGGCTTTTGATTCAGTTAAACTGCGACGCTGAGAAGGTAAATTGGAGGTCCCTTAACAGCTGGTTCTCGAAGATTTCCTCGAGGGAAAAAAAAATATGGTTAGTTCCCCCTAATGATCGCTCTAAAATGATTGCCAAGAAAACGCAAAGCAGTATCCAGCTTTCTCGCCTCCTTCTGCTTGTCTCTCTTTTAGCCAGGCTGAGCCGAGGATGGCGGAAGGAGGCGTATTGTGCAATTTCTTATTAAACACATCTGGAATATGCACACTCTGGATCTAGTGCCAAGCATTTTACAAAGAGTTTATAGCTGTGACAGAAAATTGTCCTTTTAACGAGTTTACAAGCAGTAATCACGGGGGCTTTTACAGGACCGGCCTTCTTTGCTCCTCGCCAGATCTGGAGACATTTCCAAGATTCACCAAGGCAGCAGGAAGTGGGCCGGCCGGGGCGCCCTGGGAGACAGAACTTCCACAAATCTAAAATTATGCCAAGCAGAGCTGGAAGAGTAGGGGGTAGTCATCGGAGTAGGAAGAGAGGGCATGTAAGAAATTAAAGTAATTGGCCCTTCCTTATTTTCCAGAAAGATTTCCGCGGAGTCCTTTGAAGCCTGTCAGGGTCATTGAAAGCTATCTTTGTGTAGGGTGTTTGTTTTGGGGAGTGAATGTGAAGAATGTGTGGAGATTCCCATTGAGAGCCCCTCCTGCAGAGGGTGGCATTTCTCCGTGGCCCAAGACGCAGAGAATAAACACCCTAGTGACTTAAATAAACACCGATTTAATGATCCAAAACACTAACAAGGGAGATTGGGACCCTGAGCTTCCAACCCAAATGATGGTTTCTATGTGGCTGTGTGCACATCTGTCCATCAGTGAGGGGAAAAATGACTTTCTCAGTAAAAGTGACTACGGTTAAGTACAGTGGTCGTTTCTACCTTGAACTCAAGTTGAAGCCATTTGACAGCTTTTTGTTTTGTTTTGTTTTGTTTAACCTCATAAGAAGGTGGCCTTAATTTCCCACACACACTTCAGCATCCTAGTTCAGGACAGAGACAATAAGAAAGGAAGAAATATATTAATAGTGACACTTATGGATGTGGAAAAATCAAAATTATGAAACTGTCATGTCAGAAAATAAGTACACCCTCCCTGGGGAACAATATTTTACAAAGCACAAGCAAGCCAATCCTGTTAACCTGAGTAGAATTTTAATAAATAATGCCATTTGTTTCACTAATTTTAAAAGCTAAATACAGAAGATACATCATTTTGCCCCAGACAAAAATAATATAGCGCCTACCTGATGACTGGGATTTTTGTAGACACTCTCCAGCAGTTTTGCAAAAGAGCTCCTGCCTTGCTGGTCTGCTTTCTATTTGTACAGATTAATTCACAATGTTTTTTATCCGTGTTTGAGTTCCCTTTTTTTTCCCAAGCAGATAAATTATTTTCACCTTCACAGTCTTGTCATAAACTTGTTAACACAAAGGAGTTGGGTTAACATACGAATGCTATGAAGAAGAGCTAGTGGTAAACATAACTGCATTTCTACATAATAAAAAAAAATAAATACCCCAAAGCTAAATCCAATCTTTGTCAGTCATATCATTAACCTAGTGACTATTCTTATTTCAGGTGATGGCCCCCAAAGTGTCTTGCAATTCGAAACCACCACTAAGTAAGAAGGTAAGAAAACTACTACTACTATTATTATTATTGAAAATAGGGCCCAATGATAGCAACACACAACTCACCTTTCAGAAACAGAATCGTACTCCTGGGTGTTCTACCAAGTTTTAATTTAGACTGGTTTAGGTACAATAGAAAAGAAACCTGAAAACACATGCTGTTTTAGTAACAAAAGCCAGGTTGTCGGCATACTTTTGCAAGCTAGAAACTAGGAACAAGAGAAACCCTTAACAGGAGAAGGCTACAGACATGAAAGCTTCAAGGGCATGAGAAGTAATGGCATTCAGGAAAGTGTTTTTTCACATTGGTACATTTCTAGAGTTTGTCATTTTAAAAAAACCCAAGAAAACAAACAACAACCAAATACCCACTAAATTTGACAAAAATAATTATGCTACTAATGGTCACTTCTATTTCTAACTGCCTCACATAGAGAGCATTAAGACATTTAGGCACTTGGTTTTCTTTTCCCCTAATACTGTTCTTTTAGTTTAATCTACATAAAATTGTTTAACACTAAATATTTAAAAATGTAAACTTAATTTTTCCCCATCAGAAAAAAAAAAGATTTTATTTTACCTATTCACCTTAAGAATGCACCCAATTCCTCCCAGGCTGGAGGTTCTGTTTCATTATATTGATATATCTTTTTCTCTCTTTCTCCATTTCCTTTTCCTCTTCCCAAAACATTTCTCCATAAATAAATTCAAAGGAACTAATTTATATCCAGTTAGTTTTTACTTCTTGTTCATTGGGAGGAAAAAAAATAGACTACTGAAGCAGGCTCAGGGGTTGTCCAGAACCAAGACCGGGTAACTGGGTGCTTTTGTTTGTTTGGGTTTTTTTTCTTTTTTCTTTCTCCTGATCCCTGCACAGGGTGGGGGAATGCAAAAGTGGAAAGAGTTGGAGAGGAAAAGGAGACTAAACTTGAGATTGCTGTTGGTTTTGACTTTGATTTTTAAAAAGATATATATGAAAGTCCACCATTCCTTAATGCGTGAAGAACCCCAGAAACAAGCTGCAAAAATGTTCCTGATTTCTATTTACAAGTGTCCCTAGTTGCTGTGGTAGGTTGTTGCTCCAGCCATCCCTTTGAGGTCCCAGTCCCTCCCAATTAGGACCCCAAGTCTACCAGACTGGAGGTGAGGGGGCCGAGCAGAGAGTCCTGGAGCTGATGCTGATGGGACTGCAGGCCGTGGCTGGCCTGGGAAGCTGTTAAGCCCGGGAGAGAATAGTTTGAGCTCCTGGTGTGGCCCATATTGCCCTGCAGCAGAAGAACGGAGTTCTGGTCTGGACTTTGGGGAGGTGAGAATTCCTCTTCTGAGCTGGACATGAGCGGCTTGCCCCCTTCCAGAGGAGAGAGTTGATTCTGCTTGTTGGAGGAGGAGTTATTGTTTTCTGTGTTTTCTCTAAGAAATAAAAGACAACACCATATGGTTAAAAAAAAAAAAAGGTTAAAAAAAAAAGTGCGACATGGAGGGAGGGGAGCTGGAAAAAGGAAAGGGCCATTGTGCAATCTGTCACCAACCCAAATGGAGGAGCTCTGCCCTCCCACCCATCCCCAAGAGTCTTGGGGGAGGTGAGGAGGCAGAGTAGACTGGGGAAATGGGAAGCTGCAGACAAAGCCTGCCCTAAGAAGCCAAGTCTCTTTCTCTTCCAGTTTTCCAAAAGACAGATGAGTAGGATGTATTTGAAAATGTGTATGTTCTTAATCTTGTTCAAGCAGTGATGTTTAAATTTCGATCAACTAGTACCATATTTAGAGTTTGAAAATCTTCCAGTTGTTTTTAGTGGTAAAGAAATGATCAATGTGTGCGTGATTGGGGTGAGTCAAGTCAATTGCCTTGTTCCCATCTGAGGAAACAATTAAACATCGCGTTTCCCTGCCCAGAGGTTGTGGCTTTGGAGACAGAGGACAGGTCATGGGAAGCGGTGCCCAGAGCGGCCCAGTGACCTGAGTAAACACGGGGAGCACAGCCAGTCTCCTATTTCATCAGGGAGTGGGCCCTCGGGCCTGGCTTAAAGGACAGAGTTTTGTAACTAAAGGCTAACAGGAACCGTGCTCTCCCTGTTCCCCTGCTACTTACTCCTCAGTTTCTCGCGGCCCTTTTTCAAGAGCCTCAGCAACATCTTTCCCAATCCGCCCTTCCCGGCAAGAGAAACCCCACGAGCCCGTACAGCTGCAAACAGGCGCGCTCTCCGCAGCGTCAGTCTGGACACTCGCAACCGTCCACTTGAGCATTTCGCTGCCCTCGCCGCTTCCGCCTTCCGAGTGCTTGCCGATCCTACCCACTCCCAGCGCCTGCCGTTCTTGTTTCTCTCTCCTGCCCTTACAGTATCTCTCCCCTTTCAGCTGTATTTATCCCGGTCAGTGGTTTTTCCACTCAGAGGGGAAGGAGGAGGCGAGATCTTCAGTGCCCAGGCTCGGAAGCGAACAAAGGAAACATAGCCGGCCCCTGCGCTCAGGTTTCCCCAAACTCACTGGCTTCAGCAAGCGCTCGCTCCGCGAGAGCCGCCTCCCCAACGTCTTTTCGAATCTCGGTCGGACACCCAAAAGCGCACGGATGGAGAAGGGCCAGGTTGCTGAGGGCGCTGGCAAAAGGAGCCGGAGGCAGAGACGGGTTAAAATATATATACTGCCTTCTCAGTTCCAAAGTAAGCGAAGTGTGCGACGGGGAGCCCTTCCTTGTCCAAGGCGGTAGCACAGACCGACAGCCAGATTGACGGGCGGCTGCGCCTGGGTCACGCGAGAGGGAGCGCCGTTTAGGAGCAACCCTTCCTGGCTCTGGATTCCGGGAGTAAACGCAGCGCCAACTCTTCCCCAAAGCTCTCTTTTTAGTGCATTTCTTTTAAAGACTCCTCCCTTTGTGCAGTGCAGAATAAAACCGGCAGCCTCTCATCCAAAAGACTACGAGGAGAGAGCTAAGTGTAGAACTGGGCGGGAGTGCCGGCGCGGCAGAGTCTCAGGCCAGCTTTCCCCCGCCCCTCCGCGGGTGAAGAAGAGAGAGGTTCGCGTCTAGGCCCCCACCGAACCCTGTCCTCTGGACACCAATCAACATTTCCCTTCCCATGATCTAGAACTCACTGTCCAGCCCCCACTTCTCGCCGCAGTCAGTCAGGGAGACAGGAAAAACAAACCTAGCGACAATGTTTCCCGACACTCACACCCCAAAGAAACCCACGCACGGGTGCCCAAAGCAAATGAGGCCCCATCCTTAGTAAGCAACCTCAGAGTTCATGAACTTTGGCTGCAGTGCTACCGAGACTTGGGCGCCGCCCCACGGAAGGACTCTGGCCCTCGGGGACGACTTGGTGGCATGGTGCCTTGGGGGGCGCGAAGGGGCGGAGGGGAAAAGAAAGTCCTAGGGTTGCCCGACCTATGGGAAGCACTCCGCGTACCTTTCCTTGGCCTCGGCGGCCCGGTCTCTTTGCCTCCGGTTCTTAAACCAGTTGCTGACCTGGGTGGTGGTGAGGCCGGTGGCCTCGGCCAGCTCCCGCTTCTCACGCGGCGAGGGGTAGGGGTTGTGCGCGTACCACTCCCGCAGAACGCCCCGCGACTTCTCCTTGAAGCAGTAGCTGGTCTCCTCGCCGTCCCAGATGGTGCGCGGCAGCGGGAATTTTCGGCGCACCCGGTATTTGCCCACAGCACCCAGGGGTCGGCCGCGCAGCTTCTCGGCCTCCACGTAGTGCGCCTTCAGCCACAGTTGCTGCAGTTTTGGGTGGTTGTGGGGCGAGAATTGGTGGCTCTCCAGGATCTTGTAGAGCTCGCGGAAGTTGCCGCGGTGGAAGGCGACCACCGCCTTAGCCTTGAGCACGCTCTCGTTCTTGTGCAGGTGGTCGCAAGCGGGCAGCGACCAGAGGAACCTGCCCAGGCGCTCCAGGTTCCCGCCTTGCTGCAGAACCTCGCACACGCACGCCACTTGCTCCTGCGTAAAGCCGAACGAAGGCAGCATAGACATGGCTGGGCCCTGCCGGGGCGCACGGCCCAGGCGCACGCCGTAGGGAGCAGAGTCGAAAAAGCTGGGGGCGGCGGCCGCCGAGCT